ACCAAGTCCATCCTGCTGGTTACGGGGTCGCTGGGTCAGAAGTGACTCACGGCTCTTGACAACAGATAACTGCACTTTGTGGAAAAGAATGTGGTGTCAGGATTGGAGGAGGGCACATCGGTGACCTCACCGCGCTTACACAAAGTGAGGAAGACGGGGAACGCTTGCTGCAGAGACTCAGAGTACAGCCTTCAGTATGGGTTACGTGTCACCATCAGAAAACCTAGATCCTCACCTCCGGACCTGTCGGCAACATCACGGTGAGTGGAGAAATGACCAAGATGGCCAACGATCTCATCTCGCTTGAATCCACAGTCAACCCATAATGACACTCATGGTGCCCCAGTCAAGAAAGTCTGCTGCCAGGGAAGCTCTTCTGAGTACTAAGGTGCAGTGGTGTCAGTCTGAAGACTAAGGTGTGCCTGATTCAGGCCATGGTCTTTTCAGTTACTTGCTGTGCATCCGAGAGACAGTGAATAAGGATGACAAATGAAGAATCAGTGCCACCGAGCTGTGGTACAGGCGAAGACGCTGAACATCCCATGGATAGGCCTTGACGAAGGTGCAGCCAGAGGCCTCCTTGGAGGCCAGACGGCAAAGCTTCATCGCACACGCTTTGGGGGTGTTGGAAGGAGGGGCCAGTCCTTGGAAAGAGAGGTAATGTCGGGAAAGGTGGGGAGGGTCAGTGGAAGAGAGGAAGACCCTCGATGAGCTGGACTGACAGACTGACTACAGCACTGAGCCCACGTGTGTCCCAGATGGTGAGGACTCAGGACAGATCTGCTGTTGATAGGAGGCCTGGGAGTCCACTGACCCCGGCACCTCACACCACCCTGCCCCACAGGCGAGTTAAGTGACCGTCCGATTGACTGTGTTGAGTGAGAGGAGGGGCCTGCCGCTGAGGCGGAAGGGTTCTGTCGGCCGAGGGACTTGTGAGAGGCAGCGGGTCCCTGACTTTTCTTAGGGTTGCTTTGCCCCTATTGTGTCACAGCGTTTCCCACACTGGCTCTTCCGTTACATTGACTCTTGTTATCTTGTCCCTGCGTCTGCTGTCCTGCTCTGCTCTTCCTTGGGTTATAATTTGACTGCCTGTGTGCTTAAGGTTGAAGGAGCTGTGGTGGCGCTGTGGTTCAGCAGTTCAACCCCCCCAGCCACTTTTTGGGAGAGAGAGGAGGCATTCTGCTTCGGTGGAGGATGCCAGCCCAGGAAGGCCCGGGGCTGCTCTGCCCTGCAGGGTCCAAAGGCACCTGACTGTGGTGGGTTTGTGGGTTTTAAGTTGCATATACAGTTTCACTTTGGATTTCGTAGGTCTTATCAGACAGGTTTCTTCTTAACCTCAACGTCCTAATCACTCACTTGGGCAAACACCCGCCTCCTTGGTCCCGTAGATTGCCGTATATGGCTGCCAGGCAGCCCGGGGACTTTAGACTTCCCCTCCCAGGAGCTGCTCTCCCGCTCACCGCCCAGGCTGAGAAGCGAGTCAGTCTCAGTTCTCTTTTCTTACCTTTCCCACGTCTCTCAGCTCTTTCTTTGGTACCCTTCACACACACACACACACACAGAAGATGTGAAAAGAAGTAGGGGCTATTTCTTTATTTCTGACATCTTATTGTGATTTGAGAGAGCTCTGGTGGCCTAGTGGTAAGAAGCTGCACTGCATTCCTAAAGGTGCATAGTTCAAATCCACAAGCTGCTTTCAAGAGGGACAGTCCTTGGAGAAGGACATCATGCTGGGAAGGGGAGAAGGTCAGCACAGAAGAGGAAGACCTTGGATGAGATGGCACAGTGATCCTGGCAGTGGGCTCGGGTGTGTCAGAGACGGGGAGGTTGGCTCCAGATAGGACAGGGTCGCAGTGGGTCATAGACGGCACGGAACAGCAACACTGTAATACGAGTGAACATTTCCAATGCAAACTGGCATCCCCTCTGGCCATTCATCTGCTTTACGTTGACACTGCTGGCAGCCCCACATGGTGGAGGCACTCGCCCCACTTCCTCCTGGGGTGTTCTGCCTCCGTTTGTCCTCCTTTCTTACCTCTTTCTCCCTTCTGAGCTTATCCCTGGGCAAGTGCCGCCCTTTTGATCTGGTGTGATTGACTTCTCAGGAAGGAGTTCCCTGGGTGTTACCGACCCCCTGATAACCTGTGTATCTTTTAGTTGAATGCTGAGTCATGAGGGTGGGGTTGGTGCCAGCCCTGAAGGGCGCCAAGGGGCCACAGTCTTTGGCATCCCACCAGACTCTAGCTGACCAGGGAGCCCAGACTTGAGGCTTTCTTATTTTGTCCCTCTTTTTTCTTCCACTAAGATCCCTTTCGGGAGTGGCAGCAGCGGTGGCCAGGCACTGTCAAGAGAGGACGTTTAAAGGACATTCGCTGACTCTGGAGGGGTCTTGCCACCTCTCCAAGTCCAGCCCATGGACCTTAGCTGTTTAAAAAAGAGAAAGGGGGGTACACTGAGGGGAGGAGTAAACAAATTGTATGCTGTGGCACCTGGCACATACCTGCTTGATAAATATTAGCTCCTCTCCTTGCAAATACTTCCCATAATCAGTGGGTGGTTTGTCATAATCTTGTGAAGTTTGGGCCTGGCCTGTCTCCTGGTTAAGTCATTCTGCTTGGTTCTGGGTGAGCTTGGTGGGAGGGGGCTTTTAAGAACACCAGCTAGGGAGTTAGTTGACCCGGCTCTGTGACCTGGGGACACATCTTACCATATTAGACTTTCATCTTCTTATCTTTAAAATGGAAATATATTGCTTACCTAAGCTAAAAGTGTTTGGTTTTAAGGCCTTGGGATATTTTTGGTTTAAAGATTGTCTCAAGATAATAGTTTTGGAAGCTCATCTACTTTTCATGGCTCCAGAAAGTCTGAAGTCCATGAACATTTTAAATTCTGGGGTTTTTTTTATATATACTAGTTTATTTACAAAATGTGAATATAATGTTTTCCAGAAAAGATTCTTCCAATTTCCCTCACCCTGCCCGTCATCAAATTGTACAACTCCAAGAATAATCCCCGCACACACACATCCTCATCCATCTGCTTCCCCCCGTTGGATGCTCATACACATTCTACAATAATGGTTTTATACAGTATTTGTCCTTGTGGGACTGAGTTAGTTCCCTCAGCTTACTGCTCCCCAGTCCCTCCCAAGTCAGGTAATAATGTACAAAATCATTGCTCCTGCGTGCTATTGTGTGGATGGGCTGTAATGTCTCAGTCTGTTCTGTTTCTTACATTGTAACCTTTTTGAGTAAATGTTCTCTATGTACCTAAAAAATTGGGGGCAAATAGTTTCTTTTAGAAATTGCTTCTTTCAGGTATAATTTACATATAATAGAAGTTGTTTAAGTTTGCAATTCAGTGATTTTTTAGTCCGCCTGAAGAGGTGTGCACCCATCACCACAGCCACCTTTGAGCATTTCTGTCACCTCAGGCCACCTGATTTCTGACAACTGCCAGCCACGCTTGGCATCATTGCAGCTTAAAGATGCAGCTGCATCGTCTCATGATGTTTCCCCACGAGTCTTCCTCTCGGGCTCTGTGTCACTTTTTAGAACTCATCCCACAGAAGGAATAATACCATTATGTGCCATCAAGTCAGAACTGACTCATAGCTAACCCTTAGGAGTTGTTCTGCCAACCCAAAGGTGCACGGTTCGAATCTACCAGCTGACTCACAGCTAACCCTTAGGAGTTGCTCTGCCAACCCAAAGGTGCACGGTTCGAATCTACCAGCTGACTCACAGCTAACCCTTAGGAGTTGCTCTGCCAACCCAAAGGTACACGGTTCGAATCTGCCAGCTGGAGAAAGTTGGGCAGTTTCCTCCTGTGCCCTTTACTGACCAAGACAGAGCAAGACAACGCCACAATGTTTGCTTGGCTGTCTTCTCCACCAGGGCCGATTGCCAGGCCTTTCTTAGGCAGCGCTGCTGAGTGAGTTCAAGCCACCAGCTTTAGTTAGTGGTCAAGCTCAAGCCGTCCGGGCCACTTGGTAACCTTTTATTCACAGGTGCCGCCCCACCCCCACCCCTGTTTGCATGCTGCCACCGGGCCAGTGCCACCTCACAGGGACCGTGTGGTACAGAGCAGCAGGCTGGATTTTCATGAAGCGGCTGCCTCCTCTCTTCCAATGAGAAGTAGCTGTGGGCTCAGCTGCTGACCTCTTAGGGGCAGCTGAGTGCATTAGCCCCTGCATCACCAGCACTCCTAGGCACAGACGGGGTAGGAGTTCAGTGTGTATTTAGGGAGGACACACTCAGTCCACAAGGGCTAGTACTGGACAGCCTGGTGCATCTTTGCCTGCCCACAGTCCTGCCCGTCCAGTACTGTCCCTGCCATCCTGCTGGTCAGCCAGACCTGCTGCTGTGGAGTTGATCCCACCCCTGGGTCCTGAGTCTAATCATTATGGGGCAGACCTTCCTCCCTGAGAGCTCCTCCCTCAGAGCTCCTCCCGCAGATGTCCTCCCGCAGAGCTCCTCAGAGTTCTTCACTCAGAGCTCCCCCTGCAGAGCCCCTCTCAGAGGTCTTCCCACAGATGTCCTCCCTCCAAGCTCCTTCCTCAGAGCTCTTCCCGCAGACAGTCTCCCTCGGAGCTCCTCCCGCAGATGTCCTCCCTCAGAGCTCCTCCCTCAGAGCTCCTCCCGCAGAGCTCCTCCCTCAGCTCCTCCCACAGATGTCCTCCCGCAGATGTCCTCCTGCAGATATCCTCCCGCGGAGCGGCTGTTGGACTTGAACTTATTGTCTAGGAGCTGAGTGCTTCACCCCTGCCCTATCAGGGCACCTTGTTTTGCGGACAGGGAAGCTGGATTACTTTTTTACATCTGAGGGAACTGACACTCAGGGCACCTTGGCTTCCCCTCTCCCAGCACTAGCAATTGCTTTGTTCTGCTGGCCCATCTGCCACCAGCTCCTCTGCTTTGATCTTCCTGAGACATTAGGTGCCAAGACCTCCTGGTGTGTCCCTTCCCTGACAGAACTCCACGTTCTCCTCTTGCCTGCAGAACTTTGCCAAAGAGTTTGTGATCAGCGATCGGAAGGAGCTGGAAGAAGACTTCATCAAGAGAGAGCTGAAGAAGGCGGGGGGCGCCAACTATGACGCCCAGACGGAGTAGCCCGCCCGCCCCCGCCCCGGCCAGTCATCTGCCTGCTCCCGGGGGAGGGCGCCCCCGGCCCAGCTACCAGCCCCCAGCTCACCACGGGATGGAAGAGTCCACGCCCGGCCCTCCTGGCCCCCCTCCACCCGATGTCCCCGTCTCCTGTGCTCATGAATGTCTCTCTTTCACCTTCTTCCTTCCTCCCTGCCTTCTGCCTTTTAGTCTAAAGAAAAATCATTTTGATGCCAAGGTCACACACATGGTCAGATTAGTGGTGCCCCCTGCAGTGCTGACCTGACCCACCATGTCTAGCGCTGGTGGAGCCTGGGCTGACCATTGGTCATCTGGCCTGTCATCCTGTGGTGTTTAAGGAGGCCACTGCCAAAGGCAGTGCCGTCCATTTCAGCCTTCTTTTATGGGCCCTCCCTGATTGAACTCTGGGGGCCCTCACCCCACCTGCAGCCAACCTCAGCGGCCGCCTGGGCTTTCTGGCACGTCCTCGGTTTAATCCTGAGGACGCAGCTGTCCCAGGGGCAGGATGGCCCCACCACACGTCATAAGAACATGTATGTATGCCAGCCGCTAGCTCCTCGAATGAGCTTGGGGCCCTCACTCCATCCGCATCCAACCTGAGCCGCACCTGGGCTTTCTGGAATGTTCTCCTGTTTAATCCTAGGGAGGCAGTTGCTCTGGGAGCAGTTCTGGTCCACCAGAAACTTCAGAAGAACACATTTTCATGGCTCCTTTGGCCTCCTCGAGTGAGCTCCAGGGGCCCTCGCCCCCTGCGTCAGTCCTGAGCCGCCATCTGTTTCCCGCATCGTCCTCCAGTTTACCGTGAGGAGGTGCTGTCCCAGAGCAGTGCTGGGAAGAAGACCCGTGCATCCTGCTGGGACCTCCCGGCACCAGCCCCGGGCCTCCTCTCCCCCAACCCCATCAAAGCTGCCTCCACGGCAAGTCAAGACAGGGACAAGACTGGGCCTGACTCGGACCAAATAAGAAAAGAGAAAACTTGCCTTAAAACCTGGCTCGCCTGTGGCTTTGCCAGGTGGTCTGGATGGCCTGTGCCCACCCTTTTTTGATTAAAATCTCAATGTGACATGAAAAGAGGGTAGCGGTTCGAGTCCCAAGAATGAACAGGAAGCACTAATCTCAGGGAGAGCATTAGGACCCTCCCCTGTATCATGGACGCCTGGGACAGAGGCCCAGATGGGGAGGGGGAATGTCCATGCATCCATGGTCCCGGCGTGGCCTGTGCAGACACCAGGCGGTCAGGCCCAGCGGCCCACTCTGCCTCCTCTGCTGTGTCTTGAATGGACACCCCAGTACTCACAGGAACCCCAGCCTCTGGGGTTTAATCACCCTCCACACATGCAATAGGATTTTTTTTTCCAATTTAGAAAAAAAAAAAGGTGAGATTGGCTTGGTTCTCCATGAGCACATTTGATCTAGATTTTCTTCCTTTTTCTTTGCTCATCTCGTTTTTTGGGGGAGAGAGGTCTGTACTGTATTGGGGTTGTGACAAACACTCATGCTCCAACAATTTACAGAAATAAATGTGTTTTTGTTTTTAAAAAAACTCCCACCTGTTTGATTTTCTGATTTGTTTCCTCTTTTAAATAAATTTAAAAAAAGCAAACCCCAAACCCAGTTGTCGTCATACTGAGAGGCTGAGAAGCACAGGTCCTGTGTGACTGCCGTGGTGAGGAGTGAGGAATGGCGTGTTCAGTAGCTCCTTCACTTCTTTACAAGCAACAGGTACTTCTCAGCCAGCAGGAGCCCTCATGGTTCAGGGTGTAAGGTGCCGGGCTTTCAACAAAAAGGTTGGCAGTTCAAATCTACCAGCTGCTCCTCAGGAGAAAGATTGGCCATCTTCTCTCATAAAGGCCTCAGAGACTCAGTGGAAGGGCCGGGAGTCGGAGCTAAGGCCACAGCAGTGGGTCTGTGGTTCTCCCCACGAGTGTTAGTGCACAGTGATTCAACGTTAGCCCACCAACCAAAAGTCAGCTCCAGGGAAGAGACATGAATCTTTCCAGATGACAGCAGGGAGACCCTATGGAAAGTTCTGCCGGGCAGGGTCACTGGGTCGGAGTGGTGGTGGTGAAGAGCACTGAACATCCCGTGGACGGCCAAAGAATAGACAGTTCTATCTTAGAGAAAGTCAGCCGAATTGCTGCTTGGATGCAGGGTTGGCCAAGCTTCAGCTTAGATACTTTGGACATGTTAGGAGAGCCTGTTCTTGGAGAGGGACGTTATGTTTGGAAAGATAGCCAAAGAGAGGAAGACCATTGATGAGATGGATTGACAGGGTGACTGTGGCAGTGGGCTTGAGTGTGTCAGAGACGGTGAGGACAGCACAGGACAGGACAGGGGTCAGATCTGTTGCTCCTGGGGTCAACGGCACTGAACAACAGGCCAGAACCTCCTCCCAGGCTTTGCACTAAACCCTCGAGAAAGTGCTGTCCCAGCTTAGGGTGACATCCTTTCCGCACTCAAACCAGAGCTTCAAAGTGGAATTCCAGCACAGCGGGTCCAGGGAGACCCAGAACCAGGCCAGCAAAGAGCAAACACACAGATGGTAGGACTGGGAGGGGGCAGGGAGAACACACAGCCCAGAACCCACAGGACAGGTTCTCGGCCTCGAACTCAACCCCCTCTCAGCCAAACAGGAGACAGACGAAGTGGACAGGAACAGCAGACAGTCTGCAGAGCAACCAATCATCAGAGACCAAACCAGAAACAGCCCAGAGGGTGGGGAGGGCAGCAAAGGACAAATGGAGATGGGAGACACAGGGAGGAAGTGGGAAGGATGTGTCCCACTGGGGAGACTGCAGCCCAAGTTGCTGACAGAAAGTGCATAAATTGGTGAACGGAAAATGGAAATGTTCTCAACACTGCAGCCTCGACTGAACAACAGAGAACAAACCAAACCAACCCAGTATTTTGTTTCAGCACACCCATTCTCCCCAGAGACGAAAGGGCTCATCTGTACTGATTGTTCAGAATGTGGAAAATGCGGAGTCCTAGACGAAAATAAAAACTTCAAATATCACCCCTGAAAAAGAAAACATAGGCCGGGTCGTGCACACGCCACATGTCCTTCGTCCTCACCTGCCTAGGCTCAAACCCCAGCCTCTGCTCGCCGGCTATGCGGCCTTTGAAAAGTTGATTAACCTCGCTGAGTCTCAATTTTCCCATCTGCTAAGTGGGCCTGCTCTTACCTGTTATGGACTAAGTTGTGTGTGTCCCCTAAATACTTGCTGGACTCCTAAACCTATAGTTCTAACCCTTTAGGCAATAAGGGGTTTTTGTGTGTGTGTGTTAGTGAGACCATTTCTTAAACCTTTTCACTTTGAGATGTGAAAGGAGTCAGTGAGTCCCCTAACTGAGCCTAGATGCAGAGGGCCAAACCTTCCCTGAAGGCGGAGAGGTGGCTGGCGACCAGAAACCCTGAGTGTCCTTTAGAAGCAAGGACGGTGAAGGGTCATCTCATACTCAGGACATGTTGTCAGGAGGGGCCAGCCCTTGCCAAAGGACAGCGTGCTGGGAAAGGTGGGGGGTCTGCAGAAGAGAGGAAGGCATTCAGAGAGGGAACTGACCCAGAGACTACAGGGGTGCGAGCTTCTCAGGGACCGTGAGGTGATTCAGGCCGGGGCAGGGGCCAGGCCGCTTGTTCCTAGGTCCAGATGAGCCTACTCAACCGTACCTTAAAACACGAGGGCCCAGCGGTGTAGTGGTTATTAAAGTGCTTCACTGCTAACTTACAAGTCAGTGGTTCAAACCCGCCAGCCGCCTGGAAGGAGAGCAGTGTGGCCGTCTGCATCTGTACAGATTGATGGCCTTGGAAACCTTCCGGGCGGTTGTACTCTGCCTGGGTGCCCGGGGAGCCGGCTGGACTTGATGGCAGTGGGTTAGAACCTGCCCTCCTCCTCTCAGGACTGGGGTGCGGTGCCGAGAGGCCCTGACAGTGGCAGGCACGCAATCACTGGGTCTCGTCAGGGCCTCCTGGAAGCAGGCTGCTCTCTGCCCTGGGACGAGTTCCTGGCCTCTCTGTTCTGCCCGGTCCTCGAGCTGGCGGCTTGCACCGAGTGTCCTCTGCAGTGGACAGGCGGGCAGCTCCCTGCAGCTGGGCTGGTGCCCCCACCCCCCGGCAGACCATCCTCTCAGCCCCCAGCACTTCCTGCTCCCCATTTCTTAGTGAGCCTCAGAGGAGGTAAAACAAGACCAGGAAGGTCAGAACCCAGCATCAGGTACCAAGAGGAACCAGGAGGCAAGGGCGAGGCTGGACCTTGGTGACCCATCGGGTCCTGAGGACACATTTGGGTTCATGGCCACTCCTTCGGCATGACCCTCCTGGCTTGTAACAGGCCGATTCCTCTTCTCAATTCCTTTCAAGGCTCCCCTGATCTCCTCTCCGCCCTCCCCCTGCCCTGTTACGCTGACACCCCGTCTACTGATGGGAACACCAGCAGGAGATGGCCTGGCTGCTGGTTCCCCACACAGCTGCCCTCTCTGGGTTCAGTAATGACTCTTTTCAAGCTTGGGGGCCACTAATACCCCTGCTCTGCTGTTCCCAACCTCAGGACACCCCAGAAGCCCCCAGCACACCTTACGGTTGCTCCCCTGGACTCAGCTTGCACCTTCGTGGACCAAACCATGAAGCAAACCTGGCCGTGTGCCTAGGGGATCCCTGACCTCCAGGGTTTGTGTGGCTTCGGTGTTCACAGAAGGGGCCTCCAGGCCTTGCTTTCAAGGTGTCTGCATCACAGTTTCAAGAAGCCCTGCTCCCAAACTTGACTTGGTCCCCAGTGTGTAAGAGGCAAATGTCAGATTCTAGCTTTTGAAGTTTCCAGGCAAATCTGACATTCATAACCCTGGGGTTACATTTCCAGGGAGTGACAAGGGGTCGGACTGAGTGTGGGGGCCTTGTGCAGTGGGAGACAAGCTCTCTCCGCCCCTCAACGCTCTTCTTCATCTCCTGTTCTCGTACCTTCTGGTTCCTGTAGAAATCAGAGTTCGCT